CTTTCAGCCTTCAGCAGCACGTGCAAAGACAGCGGGGAGAGTTGGACTACGGGTAAACGTAAGCAACATATGATGAAGCTATCAAACGCGGTATCATCTAATGACTATGAGTACCAAAAGCATTGACCAACCTCTTCATTGTTCACGCGATCTTACCACCATGCACCAATCATTGCTTTGGAGACATCGGAAGGTGAACACAACTAGTCCAATAACATCCTCAATGGGAAGGGAAAAGGTCTAGTAACTGTCAAGCAAAGCAAAACAAACCGTAAAAAGCACACACCCCTCTGGGAGTATTCGGATGGTGTGACGATGCCACTGGTATCGCAAGTTGTAAATGCTTGCCTTAAGTTGCACTGCCAATGCGGTGATTTATTCCATAACATCAGCTCCAGTCGCAATCAGGCTCAGGAGGTGATTAAAACCCCATCACGCCATCTCGATTTAATCTCCTCAAGCGGCATCTGCAGGTGTATATGCATGTGAGTCTTACACACAGTCACTGCAGTTAGCCGGTACCCCACATTTAGCTTTATCAGGATACCAGGATCACCAGGTGGTTCAAAGCGAGCTGGGTTTCCTGTGTGTTGGCACCCTGTATTGATCTTATTGGGTCAGGTTCGGTCAAAAACCATAGTCTTTGGAGAAGTTGAACTCTCTAGTTTCCTGGACCTGATATCCCCTCGGGCAAAGATGAAGAGGATTATTGATATCGGAAAGCTTTGTCGTAATCCTTTGAAGACGTAACAGTGTGATAAAAGCTGATAATGGCCCTAACTTAACCAGATATGCGTATTCAACTGTTTAAGGATCCATAAATCCTTCTCAGGTATTCCATTTCTCACCAAAGGGTTTCACAACTTGGTCTCAAAAACGTAAACGAAGCCCTCTTGGATATCAAGAGACGCAGTGTTCGTTGGTCTCATGCAAACCTGTCGGTGCCGCTGAAAGAGGATAAAGATTTGCTCGATGCATCCACGAAATTTACAAAACCTAACCTGCTTTCTTTATGCTTTATTGTACGATCTTTGAATGCTTATGGACGCTGACAGCTGTGAGGCTATTGGGATCATGCTCATGCTCCAATGATTGATGCAGTCACTGCTCTAGCCCTTTGAAAAGATAAGGACAACAATCAATGCTCCCCACTAAGAAGCGACAAGTTCATTGTTGCAAACTTTACGAAACAGAGCCACCACTTCTCCAACAAGCTTCATTCCACCATGCTTGAACAGATCTGGGAGAAAGCCATCGGAGACCGGCACGTTATGAAATCCAAGCCTTGAGTCTTCTTGTGATTTTTTCCTTAGAAGGTTCCTCTATCAAGACAGACCATTTGATGGGTACCGTTATATCTATGAGGGAAGCTGACGATGGTGATTAGATAAACAGTGCTTAGAAGGACTATGTCCAGCTTGCAAGACGACGTAGTTGTTTGTGAGTGAGTGAGCCGTAAGTTTCATAAATTGTTTTGTTCACACCCATAGTTCTGTTACCAGTCACTCCGATGGGATTGAATGGCTAAGGGAGTTTAACCGAGCTTCAGCAAGCTTCATTTTTGAAGCACATTGCGACCAAAATATTTCACGGCAGCTGCGTAGGTTATCTTTGAGTTTACGGATATTTGCTAGGCTGAATCGGCTTGCGTCAAGAATAAACAGATTGGGAATAAATGCACTGTCTCATAATAATAATGCGTGTTTGGTCACAGATCATTAGGCTATTAGAATACAAACAATTCTTGATGAGAGCTCAGTTTTGATTATTATGCCAGGTAGGTCCAACTTTGGCTTTCCAGCTGGTGTATTTTGAAACACTGTCAGCCATGCTGTTTACGGCAGCTTATTGCAATCTACTCGTCGCTGTGTTGTGCATCTGCACAACCCACAGAAGTACATGGTTAGCTTGATTCAAACTAATGCGTGGTCGGACTCTAGTTGAGTGCTTGGCAAGATTGGAACTTGTGTACGCTATCCCGACATTTCTGGTTTACAGTAACTCGGTTGATCTGGATCTGTTGCTGACTCTTGAATAGCGGACATCAAATGGCGGACGGTCAATTTATGATGTCGGAATTCATAAAAGTTAGTAGGGGCATATTCCATATTATTTGTGGGAAACAATCCAACCAGGTGTTTGGTGATTATTTGGTTAGTACACGAATAACCAAGAGACGATCTGGACGTGGGACTGCACTGTTTGTGTAAGTGGAAGCTTGTGGAATCGATCAGTTCCTATTACTGCTTGTGCTTTGTAAAAGTAAAACAGTGGTGCGTTTTTTTAAATTTTTTTTCTGTCAATTCGCTCATCTGTCCGGCTGATTCTGATAATTATCACTAATGAATACTATTATTTTGTAACAAGAAATCTTCCTGTCTATTTGCGACCGATCCGATTGATCTCTATTGATTTATAAATTTTCATTCTGTTCCACGTTCAGGCATTTGAATCTTTATGTCGATATTCGAACATTCCATGCTGTGCGGTCAAAGGGTTGGCAAAAGGTGTGGACTACACTGTTGGCATGAAATTAGTTGATCAGACCCCCTTAGATAGTACAGACACATCACTCACTCGATTACATCACGCCTGGAGTGCAGCCTACATGGACGGTAAATGGGGCTTGTTCGATTCGATGTGGGCAGCGGAACGTCTGGCAATGAGTGCGAATGTGCGACTATCGCAGATCGCTCAGGCTGGCCGTATGGACTACGAGACAGATATGTTCTACTTCAATGCGGATCCGGCCAAATTTATCTATTCACATTATCCGTTCAACGAAGAATGGCAACTTTTACATCCGCCAATGTCATTTAAGGTACGTGCTCAAATAGGATTGTGTTTTCCTCCGGCAATATGGTCTATTTCTTCACATTTTCGAGTTTGTCTATCACATTATTCTATACTGGACCCACAAATTGGAAAACTCTGAATGACTTTCCCAGGTTTTTGCTCCACCATTCAGGACTGTGTAGAAGGGTGTGAATTCCAGCTATATAATCGACTGCAAGATTTCCTCATTTAGCTCCAGCATACTCAGACTAATCTTCTTCATGTGGGACGTTTTAACGCCAAGTGATGGTGGTACTGTGTTTGGGAGTGTTTCTATGTGCTATTCCTTTTGCGGCATTCCAGTAGATATAAAAATTGCATAAACTGGTGATAACGAAACTCAAAAATGAATGACCAATAAATGATTTCCGCAACATGATCACAAAGTTCAGTTATGTGACATTGTCTTTAACGAAAAACGGTCAACTGGATCCACTGGGAAGAATGCTTGTGCTTTACTTATTAGACCCCGGATTCAAGCCCCAGTTGGGTCGATGGATTCGCGCACTGCTTATAAGGTCAAAAAATGCACAATAACTACATAGGGCTTCCTAGTTTATAGTTCATTTTCTCCGTACACGACGAAATTCGCAGGTTAATTGGATCAAATCCTCCAATCCACTGAGGCACAAATAAATTCTTTCATGCAAAATAATCTAAGGTAGTTATGCCTAACTGGAACAGCATAAACCAATTACCCTCTGCGTGTTCTTTCTTATGACTGAAAATCTCATCCACCTGTATTCATTACTNCCGGCAAATGGGTTCTGAGAAAAATCTTGCAGTGAATCAGGAGTGTAAACAAAGGATAATCGAAACAACATACGCTCCGGCGTTATTTTACAGCTCTTTCCCGTTCTGCTGATTCATCGCGGGATGTGTAAGTAACATTTGTGGAGGCTAGATGAGACCATGGGTATCAGTGATTGGAACATGATCTGGTGATTTCTCGTTTATCTAACGATAATGTCGCTGATGGAAGAAGGGGACAGAAGCATGTCAGGCGTACGAAATGATGTGTCCGAAAACTCTGCCCTGTCTAAGTCCTCCACCTGATGTACCTCCACAAGTCAGTTTCTGAACCCACATAGAGTTAAGAAACGTTTTGTGGAATCGTCTAACGGACAAGAAGAAAAGAGCTGTGGTATGAAAAATGTATATTCGGATTTTTGTCCATAATAAAACTCACTGATACCAGTTCACTTTTCCTGTGATCTATTCGCGATGACTGTCTTTAGGCGATCGAAGCGAATAGTGCTGATCTGTAACAAGTAGTCAATTTCGAAACGTTTTTCTACCTGGAGCCTGACGCCAAAATGGGCGAAGATGGATAATTGTAACAAGCTTTAAATAAGTGTGTGTTATACCTTGTGTCAACGTGATTCGCTGCTACACGATAATGAAATGGATGGTTTGATTACGTTTTTTCTGGTAGGTTCCTGGTTTGGTCCTCAGTTTGGTCGATGGCTTCGGACATTTCTTATGATATCTAACCACGTCAAACGCAGCTTCTTAGCTTATCAGTTCAGTCGATCAACAAACATATTACATTAGGAGATTATATGTGCTTGAATTTATCGAGTGAAACGATCAACTAATGAATCAGAGATGCATCCTTCATTCACTTGGCCTTTTCACAGGAAAATTGTTCGGGTAGACTTACTCGACAAAGCGTAAGTAATAGATAAGTTGGTTTTACTTATTTCATCCGCTATTCGTGATGATATGGTCGAATGCTACGTTTTTATCTAAGTGAAATGATTTTCGTCTGCAAGTTGTAAACGTCAAACGGGACAGGGGGAAGGCAATAGCGCGAATGCATTTTCCACAATGTGGATCACACCGATCGAAAGTTCAAACAAAAGGGCTTTATCTTATTGAAGCTGATTTCTTATCGCATTATCAACTTTAGCATACTCACATCACATGATATCTATCTTTTATGCGAGACCGAATCAAGATTGATGCACGTTTTCCTAATAAAATGTCCCAAACAGAACATGATATTTCCCATTGAGGCAGAAAATGTTTTGCAACACCACGTTGTTCACTCGCTCAGCGCACCTGACCGCACCTGTGACCGCTGCATTTCTAATTCCGTAACTCATAACTGGGTCCTACCTGTTGTCCTACTCTTTTTCCCATACGCCAAACAGAACAACGGAAAGAATTAATTTGCAAACGCTGCGCGTGGAATCCTACAAAGCAAACAGGTCCTAATTTATCCATTGTGAATTCTGTGAGATTGAATACTTTGTTGCGTCTGTACGACAACGGATCCTTGTATGTTTTCTCCGGACTGTACTCGTATGTGCCAAAGCACATCTCACCTGTTGATGGACATACTCTTACGATACGCACGCGGAAGCAGAGAGAGCGAAAGTGCTTGAGATGTTCCTGTTCATGGGTATCACACATGAACTTCTCTATCGATCGGTGTGGCCAACTGAAAACCATGTACCAAAAACCTCCACACTGACATACACGCGCGGGTACATATTCATGAGCAGAAAGTGAGTGTGAGAATGAGAGAGTAGAGAGAGAAATAGAGAGAAAGAGACAAAGGAGAACTCAACTCACTCAATTTAGCCCTGGCCAAATCAGTGGTGTGTTTATGTCAAACAGTGCATTCGGTTCCGTTTATCTGTTTTGCTTTCTCCGAGCACAATCCAACAAGCAAAAAATGGGGCATACGTTTTTCGAGTGTAAACAGTCAATACAACGCCATGGCATTTTCAACACCAATACCTATGACCAAGTTTTGAACCTGAGTGTCATTACGAACGACTAAACAGGTTCACTGATGTATTTCAAGCTAGCTGGAAACCAACAGTTGCATGCACTACGAACAGAATCGGTAACGCTTTGGGTATCCAGATAGACTGCACAGATTTGACTTCGAATTCGGGTAAGTATATTTCAATAGAGCACGATTTGTGTCGCTGGATAGTGGCCGCGTTCTACAATGATTTTGCTCGATTCGTGAAATACCACATAGAAGAGGTTTGCCTTTGTTAACGATGAGATAGATCAGAGGGAGTTTTGTCGGAACCACAAAGGATAAGCACACCAACGAGGAGGAGACTTCCCACACTGGACAACATGGGCAGAGGAACCTGCGTTGATGATTAAATAACTTTAGTATACCACCGGTTTTACAAAACAACACAATAGCTATTTTAATTTTCGAGGTGTTTGTCCTCATCTTGCAAGACAACATTATCCGGAGCACCGAGAACAAATCGATTGTCCTCAACACATCTTAAATTAAAACTGAGCGTGGTCATATAACATAATCCGACTCAATCGTTGATTTAAGAACAGAAAAAAATTTATTCCCAAGATAATGTTTAAACGATTCATAATTGTTGTATATGCCAAAGCCATTTGCCACCGGGACTTAGACAGTTTTTCTAAAGACATCGAAAGTTTGACGACCTGAGTGAGTAGGTGTTCAAGCCATGAATTAAGGATATCTCAAACAGTCAGTGCTTTTACTCTCACCAAAGGTTACTGTTCACAATTTCGGTGAAAATATTGTTGCACTTTTCTCCGTTTTATTAGCGGTGGCGATATTTGAAAAGTAATTTATCCAATTACTTGTCGCTTCCCCCGCCTCCAGTTCAAGAGCTCTTACATTGAACTAAACCTGTTGTGACAGTTAGTTTACACACTATTTGTTGCGTGTATGTATGCCATTGCAAGTTCTTTGGTTAACCAAAGTTGAAAAGATTAGAATGTTCCGTGCGGTCTCATCTTTCAGCTGGATGAGCTCACAGTCTCATGGACCGCATTCATGCACGGTTTTCAAGCTGATCGATGCTTCTGATCTTCTCACGGTTTAATTGCCTGAAAAATTTCTGTTCTGTTCTATGCCGAGTGTTTCGTAGGTGTTCACTGATGATAACAATACAGCTTCACGTGAAGTATGTTGTGCACAAAATAGTTCGGCAACTTGTGAGCTAATATATTCTGTTCATGTTCATGCATCCGACTATCGGAAAGTGTTCCACACTTTAGATTTACCGTCCACTTCACTTGGGATGAGAAAAGCAGTAATTTTATCAGAACTGGAAAGCATATACCGCCGGGTTTGCCTAACCCACTGAACAGAGGTCGCTTTTATTCAAGGTGTCCCGTCAATCAATCCTGGTAGACGTGTGCTGAACTCGGTGGCATAAATATCCGAAACCAGAAACCCAAATGTGTGTTACGACTGATTTTCATTTGAAAGAGAATTCGACTTTCTGGTTTGCGCTGACTGGATAACCTAGCAATTAATTTAGGAACGTTGGACCTTTGCAAACTCGTGACCCTAAGAATATTTATTAGACTAAGTCGATCTCCGTACCCCCTCTCCCCTCCAAGTGTCTCAAAATTCCACAAAACTGGGTCGGTTATAATCAAGAAATCCGATCTTCTCAGTTCTGGTAGGACGAATTTTAATTGGAATTATACAATTCCACCCATACTAACTAATCAAAACTTTTAATTCAAAAACACATAACGGTATAGGTGCATTTTGAATTAAACCCAAGCCAGTTGGACATAACAGAACAAATCGAGTATGGGAATCAGTCGATTCTCTGTTCGTCTTTGATCTGATCAAAGCGGTTGATTTATAGCAACGGGGTTAACATTCCCAGAATGTGTTTTATTATATTTGTAAATTCAAAAAATGAATGTTTAAAGCTTTTGATATACTCGTAAATGGCTGGACCCATCGCTTAAAGGATTGTTGCTATTTATTCAATTTAATATTGATGTGTCCACGGACCAAGTTTTACTGTTTGTTGTCTTTTGGCTCAGCATGAATCCACTTCCCACCCAAGAAACTGTTTTCATTGTATGGGTAGAGCATTGTCAACGTCGAACAAATAAATCCAACAAACAATAAATTTGCATTTCTCCTCGGCACCCCTGAATCTTACTTGAACAGTTTGAATAATAAACCACGGTAAAATATCAATGTTTCTCATTCAGTTCATATATTCGCCAGCCCCAAAATGACCTTGACCTCAACGGTTAGATCAAGCGAATATTGGTCAATTCGAACACACCAGATATGTCGGTCTGCCTTGTCAGGAAGTGCTTTCAATCACTGAGGTCACTTTTGTGCAACCAGGTGATAAGAGATGTTTTTGTATTTGGAACTTGTTGTTTAGATCCAAATGACCCCGATCTTGATGGTCATATTATCATTTGTTGTATGTAATTCACATTCACTTTTTTCAGTTCATCTGAGGTAATTCTTTCATATGCGAGTTCAAGATAATCCGGCCCAGACTGGGCTATACGAGAACAGTACAGGTTTAGGTTGTCCGCCTATCGTTCTCCAGTCTGTGTCCGAAATCCACCACCGCCGAACTACATTTCGATTGATTAATTTTTTTAAAGCTTTTAGCCAATCTGAACAATTTCGCTAATTACTGATGGTAAATATATTTTTATCTTGTTCTGAGAAGAACAAAGCCTCTAATTTGGCCGAAAGAATAACGAATATGCAAGAATGAGCAGATATTGCTTACATTTTGCTGAAAGATAACAGAATTTGAAAAACATCTTTGACTGCCATGAGGAAATATGGCACAGAGCAATGTTTCAGTCCCAGTCACATTGTGTATTTCGGCGTGGCACTGGTTCTCTCTTCCTTTCTATTTCCGGGTAACAGTTTTTTTTGTTTGAATGGGGGGGATGTGAACCGATGTGTGAAGAGTACCTGGTCATTCATTAATTATATTCGATGAACTCATGGAGTTCATCGAATGAATCCAATCTCTCAATAGGTCGTTTAAATACCATGTGATTTTGTGTAGAGGAGTTCGTACGAACAGGAGAACGGTTCAATATTTTCTTGAACAAGTACGTTAGCTGTGGTGCAGGTCCGTTTTCATTCTATCTACAAAACAAGTGTCTCACATTTATCACGTGATCTTTTTCAGTTGCAACAAAACATGAAAACTATATCGATTTTCGCCTATCTATTCTGATCATGAGCCTACTAACCCGTCTGCAATCTTGGCTCTTCTATCGTTTTTTCGACTAACCGAATAGACAAGACGTGTGCAGTTGGCAGAACTCGGATGTGAATTCGTGAATCAGTAAAATGATTCATATACTTTAGGATTTTACGACACGCACGCCACGCACGTGCGGCAGTTGAATAGATCTTCCCGGTGTGTTTGGAAAGCGTTCGTGTCTTCAGCTCGTGCAAAAACGGTAATAATGGTTAAACATGCAAACCCCGCAATAAAGTCGGAATATTAAATAATAATCCACCCCAAAAACGGATCATAATAGTCTCGCGTGGATCATAAATGTGTCACTTGTCGTAGAGTTGCTCGTTTTCATTCTACACCGATAGCATCTTTTTCTCGTTCGCAGGAATTTCAAGACAGCGTGCTCCTGAAACCGGCATTCTTCACCTACGGCCTGGGCTTGTTCTCGCATCAAGAAGGTGTTATTCAAGTGCAGAACAAACTCATCCTGAAACTGTCTATTCCACGTGATTTGGTCAACGTTTTGCTGTTCACTTTCAACCTGAAATTGGACGGACGCGACGAGATGTTTGATGTGAGTCGCTCCCACATTTCAACACACTTAAATCACCGAACGCAAAACAATTGTCTTTCGCTGATTTTTAATTTTTCCTGTTTGTTCTTTCATCGTAGCTGAAATTCATTAAAACGAGCGCAGATTAATTGTTTTTCTTATTTCGAAGCTGTGAAAAATTTGAACTGAGTGTAAACATCAACGTCACATTTACCGCAGACCAATTTATATGGTTTGAGTTTTTGCAATGAACATCCATCCCGTCGAACAAATCAGCCTAGGGGAAATGTGCAGTGTAATTTGGTTCGGTGAGAATATCAAGTTGCAGTTGATTAACGAAACATATTTAAAATGCTTCGTATATTATTTTACCGAATGAGTTTTGAACAATGAACAGAAATTACAATGCAGCGCGCTGTAACTTCGGAACGAATTCTGAACTATATGTGCGATCTCGTCCATTCTTGTTCATTTTCGGAATCCGGTAGAACAGGCTGGTTAGACCCGGATCCAAATATCGTCAACCTCAACAAACAAAACGAAAAAAGCCAATTTGATCTATACACGTCCGTGCACACTTCCTCAACCACACGATCACGATCCGCCCACCCACTCCCCTCCTGTGCATCCCGAAACCTCGGCTGTCTGGAATGTGTCCCAAAGATTAGCTTGGACTAAGCTTTCGAGCGAAAAAAGCGTTGCGCTAGTCATCAGACATCATAGGTTTCATTAATTGGCATGTCTTATGCGCACCTTAGTGAGTTTAATGAGGCAGGCGGTATAATTGATGGTTCCTAGGACTGTGACGGTACTATTTGAGGTCTCTGTTTAGAACACACCCCTTCCAAGGTCATTATTGTTTTCTATCATCAAATTATGCGATGACCTTCATGTACGTGCGTAATGAAGTTTGAACTATTATTCACTTATTTCTCTTTTAACCAAGCCGCAATTTACGGTGACAGTAGGGGATTCCTGTTTTGAACCCAGTATGAATTACAAAACATAGGGAGATATTTTCATCCAGTCCAACGCCCAGTAATCCAGAAAAAGCTCAGGATGTATATATTATGCTACACTGGATGTTTCGAGATGGGCGTGGAGAACTGGAGAATGAGGCCAATTAACTGATGAAGTACTTTATCAATCCAAAAAACGAACAGTTGAAGAACAAGCTGGCAGCCATTTTTTCGGTAAATGTTACATTGCAGTTTGCACACACACAACGGGGGAAGATGGCTATCGAATGTTGTCCGTTCCACAAATCCGTTGTCTTTACCACTGAAAAGCCTTAGGACACCAAGGAAACTCCTTCAGCATGGTAGCGGTCTTAGAATAGATGTTGGCCTTATCGATCAATGATTAGCATCGCACATGGACTGATCGAATAAAATGTGTCTGCGTTGCCGCTAGCTGAACAGTAGAGCTGGTTACTTGTTATGACGGCTAGTCCAGTGGTGTGCTTATATAAACAGCAATGAACATTCTGTGTGCCATGTGAATGCACCACCGAGCGCTCGTAACTCAACTATTAAATATCGTCGCTGAATAAAGTCCACTTTTCCAAAAAATGATTTCAGTCGTTAACGTTTTGTGGTGCTACTCGGTATGACTGAAATATCGGGTTTTGGATGTCATTATATTTGGAATAGAATGATATCTATATTACCCCTGGGCTTTTGAAAGGATTCACTTCAATGTTTGTTTAGTGTAACCGCCAAATGCACATGAGCTACGTCTTTCTAGGTAGTATGTAAATAAAATGATGATCTGTGGCTCATGAGCAATAAGCAATTTTTCGATGCCACTAGAGCAACAAAATAAAAACGTACGCGAAATGGTCTGCCACTTCTTCTGAATTAGTGATTAGATTTCGCTGCATCTGTGAAACTCCCAAGTTAAATGACATCTTACCATCGAAGATGTGCACAGATATTCTACCCAGTAGCTTATCATTTGAAGATGCCGTGAATTGGCCGTGAGGTGCGTATAATGTGCTTTATGATACTCCTTTGCAATGGCTAGATCAAACGTGTTACAATTCAGATGTGATTTAACCACCGTATAAAACGAATAAAAATAGTACGGGCAGTAAGTCCAAAAAGAAATTACTCCTCTGTTTTTTTTGTTTAATTTAAACATGGAGTAGTGGGTTGTATGACCCGATAAATTTGACAATTCAAATGAAAAATAATCCGTCAAAAGAAATTGCAGAAAACCGCTGTTACCGCATGAAAACAAATATTGAGTTATACTTCATCAGCATGTAAGATGAGAAACCTAAGGTATTTTTTATTCACCTGTTACCAAGAGCTCAGTTGTCCTTTGATGCTTTGGATCATTATATCAAGAAAAAATAATATCTTACCTCTTAGCTATCATCCGTTGTTAAAATTTGTTGAATTTCTAAAGGTTCGCGGTCCTCTCCGTGGAAGCTGTCAATTCATACTGTTATGAACTTAAGCTTTCAATAGTGTTTTTTCATAGAATGTTTCACATTCAATTTATGTGGATTTATTTATCCATGTTGATTGAATACTTACCTAGATGTAGAATATTTTAAATAGGCTATTCAGCACCATTTGGATTAGGGTTCAATCATTTCAAAACAGTCTGAGCGTGCCTCACCTGAGTGAACAATTGGGATCACTCTGACCGGAGATAATGCAGTTACGGTGTGAATAGTCAACCGAATGAGGAACGGCACTTCCCGTTCAAATTTCCATGCCCTCAGAAGCATTGCGAGGAAGAAAACAGCTTAAAACAAATAAATTCCAATTAAACCTTAGTCACGCAATACGTCGGAGGGAAGCAAGGGAGGCAGTTCTAATGGAAAATGGGATCCGTGTGTGAACTCGGGTGATAAGTTTCGGAGTGTAAATGTGATTTGATCTATAGTTCCCATGTGCATCGTGCTACCCCCGCAGGCGAATGTGTACACAGTTGCTTTGTACATGGACGAGAATGATCTCACATCATACTTGTTCGTACGACTGAGGCTGGTGAATAAACACACACATACAAAAACATTGTGATTGATTTCTGTACTGTCGTTGGGTGACTTTGTGGGTGTGGACAAACTGAATGGAAACGAAATTGAGCGACGAGTTAAGGAACATTGACAAATAATGATTTCATTTTATTCACGTAAACATTTCCTGTCGCTGGCGATCACACCGATGACACAACGGGAATTTATTCACAGACTGTAGTGTAATCCCCAACACGATACATTCATCGGCGGTTCGCCCTCAATCAATCAATCGATATTTGGCTTGAGTGTTGTTCCAGAGGTTCATTGTCTCATTCCACTCTACTGTGTATGTATGTGATTGAACGAAAACGAACACGTCCTACATGTTTGCGTGTGTCGATGATTGTATGATTCGTTGAATCACAACGACCCCCCGCATCCTCGTGTATGAATCGAGACACGTAGAATGTTAAAAATAAATACAAAGTGATCAATCGAGAAACAAAAATCATTTGAACTAAAATCGATTTGTTCATGACAGCTAATTATTGGATAATCATGAAATCAGCCCAACAAGCCATATGTTGAGAACTAGGGTGTGACAAAGAGTATGGGAAAATGTCATACAAAAATAAATTCGAAAACACGTACACTGTTTTTTTAGTCATTCATTTATCCCAAACTATTGCAGGTTTTGTAACCATTTACTGGGAACCATCTGCTCGAAAACCTGATCAACAGAGATAAATATTACGATGGATTTATTGCGTGTCGGAGTTGTGGTAGAAATCATTAAAATTGCACGCCTTTCTGTTCGATGAAATAAAACTACTAAATACCTCGGCCATTCACCACCATACGTGTGCAAGATGCAGTCAATAACATCTCTGATCGTGTGCTTCCTACAGGCCTCTGGTTTGTAAGCCCCATGAAAACGCGTGATTGATTAATGTTTAGCGTTAAATAGAATCCGGCACTGTGTCACGATATAATCACACACTGAAAGTTATTTAGATCGGTTATAGACATGGATTACCTTTGGTGAAATCTGCGAACATAACTTTGTTTCTGTGACTATTTCAACTCATAAAGCTTGATTACGGCAGGTCGTTACAGTATGTTCACCAGGATCCACAGTCAATCAGAAAGTGGACATTGTCAGTCTTGTACGTAAAGTTTTACGCAAATCAGAGATTAGTCCTTTTTCGGCCAGTACAGATTTCTGGAGACCGGCTTAGGTGAAAACCTGCCAAAAGAGTAGGTTGCAGAACGCTGGACGATTAAGAGGGCATTATGTAACCCCCAAGAAACAGAAAATATGGACTAGTTTTGATTAGAAAAATGAGTTATTTTGTTGATTCAATAGTGGAAGACAGTCCAACATTCATCGGCAAGCCATTACATGAGTACAGCAAACATTTACGATGTTTTTCCTACGACGAATTGACTAGCTGCTTAACTCTTCCTGTGATCATCTTCATGCTAAGCTCGACTGCGACAATCTGTTTTGAATTGAATTATTGTTGTAACACTGTTTCTGCTCGATTGATTATAGAGGTTTGCAAAAATGTTACACATCTTGTGCTTTTGATTTACTGTTTCGTTCGTGCTATTGATAAAATTGTTTTCATTTATTCTTGATCCACAGCCATTTGATTGTGCGCTTGAAATTCATTTTACTCAACATTTTTATTCCAGCACTTTATGGCTCGCAAATTGTCATTTAACTATAATTCATTATCTACTCAACCCCCCAACCCACCTCCAACCCCCCAAAAAACAACATCCACATTGTTTGTACAATTCATTGCAAATTTATATATATATATATATTACCAACATGCTGTGACATTTGTCGGTGATGTATATTTTACACTATTCAATGTGATTTTATTTTGACAGGGTGTCAACCTATCCAGGTTTGGTATGCATGAAATATCGCAAAGCGAGTCGGTGGTGACTTTCAGTTTTCGTTTCCCGAAATCAGGAGCATACAAATTGACCATCTACGCCCGAAAGAAAGGAGATCCGGTACGTTTCTTTTGCGCTACATCTTCTACAATGTTTTATGCCAAACACCATGAAATCTTTCATTAAACGCATAATCGATCTGTCCGTTTG